TGGCGCACGCGTAGTTGACATTAGTTCGCGCATGCGTGGGTAATTGAACATGGCGTGACTCTAAGAAAACTCTGGTTTTGTAAATTTCTATAAAAGAACAGTTTGTATTCAAATATAGATGTGATATTCAGTCAAAATTCGTTACACCTATTTCCAAGTGAGGGGATGGAAATGATGTCTGGGTTCACCAAATGTTATATAGTATACAATTGGGTTTAGATGAAATCATATGGAGTTGCAGTGGGTGAACCCAGTTTCCATCCCCTCACTCGGAAATAGGTGAGCGTGGGAAATGACATCTGGATTCATAAGGAGGGAATTCCCCCCACCTGTCCCACCCAAGCCTCACAGCCTAAAATACCCTGTTAATACATACAGGCACACTGGAATAATATACGTAGCTTTTGCTTTGTCACAAAGTATCAAAAGCCGATTTGTAATAAAAAACAATAGCATTCAAAACTGAGTAAAAAAATTGTGTTTTTGAAATTTACTTCAGCTAGCTGCCTGATGAATTGCTGTCATTCACATGTGCCGATGGAAAGCACACTCGCAATACAATTGTACAAGGAATAGTAAAGAAATGTATGGTAGCGTGATCTTGTCTAAAAGTACATACGTGTGACCACGAGTGACCACATATGACCACTAGTAACAACGAGTGACCACGAGTGACCACGAATGGCCACGAATGATCACGAGTGTTACTTTCACGCAAAAATAGAGAATATCATGTAATATCTATATATAGAACATATATAATACTTAAATAGGCTGAGTAGCCGCATTTTAGTAATAAATGCACATATTTTATAACTACAACTTCAGGGCCGTAGCGAGGGCGTCTGACACCGCCTGAAAAAATTTTGTCGGCAAATAGAAATATTTGTCGGTGAACTTTCTGAACCTCCCCCCGTCGACAAATAAAACCAAAATCCAAAATTTTGTCGGCAAAGTAAAACGTACATCTCCCTATCGAACTGCTCTAGCTACGGTCCTGACAAACGTCTTTCACATCTGCGCCTAAATTAGACTGCTGGGCGTTGGTGAAGGATTGGAGGCGACGAAGGATTGTGGGTAACGGATAGCGGGCGGCGGAGCGTAGGTAACAGATTGCGGACGGCGGATAGGGTATCACAACCATATTAAAAGCTAAGCCCGGAGAACTCTTCGTACACTCGTACTGCAATACATCTTTTCGATAATTGCGTCACGAAGGTCATTTTGGCCTAGGAGCCTCGCTTTCATTAATAAAATACGCTAGGCGATTGGATTGCAATTCATGAGAGCGAGGCTCCCAGATCAAAAGATGTACTTGACTAGGTGCAGAAGTTGCAAAATCCAAGTGCGAACGTTCTCATTCAAAAATCGTTATGCTTAATTAGCATTAGATTGAGATTACCAATTAGCAATTAGGTAAAATTACCAATTCTTTGTTTATGTAATTGACGTAATTGGCAGGTATGAGGTATAACAAACAACGGCTATTTTGATCTATTGCGCAAGTTTAGAGGTATAGAAAGACTCAAAAGATGAATTACCGTTCAATTTTTTTGCTACAACCATTCTGATAGGAAAAAAATCGTCCACAAGTTGTTTTGGTTGCCCGTCATTTGGATGAAAGGTCACGTGATTGCAAGCAAAGAATTGGTAATTTCACCTAATTGCTAATCTCAATCTAATGCTAATTCAGATATTCATCAATAGCGACGGCATCTTGGATTTCGTGTTTAATGCAATGGATTGTAGGTAATTACCCAGGGTAATTGAGCCTTTTTAAAGTCCTGTAAATCAAATATGTTGGCGAAAACACCCGTTTTATGGTTTTAAATAACAGACAATAACCTACCGGAACAAACAAGAGCTCGGAACAATAAAAACGGATAAAATCGATAGTTGGCCTGTCTGATGATGTCTGGCCTGAATGGGGTGAAACGATGCAACATGGAACACATATAATTGATTTATACTTCTTCATAGTCGTCAAGAAAGTGGTTAGGACAATGAATTTTACGCATGGTGTCTCAATACAACAATAACGGCTTTTAAAGGATTTTTACTCTGGATAACCCATAATGCATCACGATTCAAGATGGCGGCGTTATCGGTGAATAATGGTCTATTCATATGTGAAACCATCTGTGGAAAAAACGATTTCATAAATCTGTCCGTTTTACAACTATAGATATTATAATCGCTTCCATATATGACGTGTATTATAGTTATGTTCAAGTTTAGGCGGTAAGAGGTCACCCAATTTGTCTCCATGTGCATTTTTAACAAAAAAACGTTCGCATAATAATCGCCGCCGATCTTTCAGTAAGGGTATACCAGTAATACTGCAAGCTTCTCTGTAAGTAGCGAATGGCAAGACAATACGCAGAGCCCGCTTCTGGAGTTTTTCGATATCTTCACTTAGGTATTCTGTAATATTGAAGTGCCAAACTTGGCAGGCATATTCGAGTACTGGTCTGATAATGGTGCAGTATACCAAAATTAGAATGCTATTGTCGGCATTTGATCGTTTTAACAACCTTAGCATATAAAGGCGTTTTCCCGCTTTTTAAATTAACAATATGGTTCACATGCTCGTTCCATTTCAAATCATCTTGAATTGAAAGACCAAGAATTCGGGCAGATTTTACCCGCTCAATACCAACGTTATTTATAGTTAACGGTAAGAACTCATGTTTTTCTCTTGCAAAGTCAATTACCATTTCCTTACATTTGCCGATGTTGAGCTTCATATTATTAACTTCACACCAATTATAGATAACATTCACTAGATCTTGTAGTTCACTACTCTCAGTTGATGTAACTCGTTCAGCAAACGTACTGTCATCAACATACTTCCATCTATCGCTCCAATCAATAAGAAGATCATTTATCATAACAAGGAACAAAGCTGGCCCTAACACCGACCCTTGCGGCACTCCACCGTTTAACGTTTGCCAGTCCGAATGACAGTTAGCCAACTTGACTCGTTGTTTACGATCAGAGAGAAAACTTCTAATCCAATTTATAATGGTTTGGGAAACACTCATTTGTTGTAGCTTATTCACCAGTATGTTGTGATCTATTCGATTAAAAGCTTTTTCAAAATCAAGCACGAATACTCCCACCGCATTGCTTGAAGCTTCTATAGCACTCAAGAGGTGATGGGTCAGGCTCAGTAGGGCATGAGTAGCCGAGGAATTTTTAACGGAACCAAACTGCCGCGTATCAATCTTTGCACCAATTGTGAATTTCTAAGGTTTTCTTTAAAAATTAACTGAATTTGTTTCCACGTACCCACCACTGACAATATTTGTCAGAATAAATTTTCAAAGTCGTCTAAATCCAATGGAAAATTGCCAGGGGGAGGGGAAAACTTAATTAGCGGTCTATATTGTATAATTTCCGCAAGAAGCGCATCAAATTGTATGGAAAATCATGTATATTTTGATTCCAGATGGTTTTCCACTTCCGATTTTTTTCGCGCGAAGCGAATATTTCTTTTGTCTTTATCAAATTTAGTTCCAGATGGTTCCAGTTAAGAGAACAACGCGAAAATAGCGGGAAAGATATCGCAAGTGGAAAACCGGCTTTAGAAATTAACATTAATTAACCAAGGTGCTCAGAAAATGCAGGAAATGCCGTTTTAGAGATTCGAATTTCAGAAATTTTATATTTGTTGGGGGAGCATGCCCCGAAATGAATATTCGATGATGCATGGTATCCAGGTGATCTTGATACGCGGAAAAGTACTGGCACTAGTTATCAAATAGAAATCCATTTTATGATTAAAACAACTGAATATCTCCTGTAATATACTTTATTTCGATTACATATTTTTGTCAGAGCTATAGTTCTCATAACCAAACATAATTACAAAATTTCAACTAGTTTCATAAAGAATAATGAAAGATATAATTGACCGAATACATCAAAATGGATTTTTATTCGGACAACCCTTTCTGAGCGCTGATTGGCTAAAATACGAACACGAGATCACCTGGATTTCATTGCAGTGTAACTAGCTTCGACAATGGTATTTTTGCTTTCATTTTTCGATCTATTTGAACAATTTGTTCTTCGGGCGGTGATTCTGTCATTCGTCTAGAACCGAAAATCAAATTAAAAGCGAAAATTTCGTTGCACTGTAACTAGCTTGTAACCATACAAATGATTGGAGTTCGACAATGGTATTTTTTATTTCACTTTCCGATTTATACTTGAACAATTCTTTGGGTTGTATGAGAAATACAAATTACACAATTGTGCAATGCTTATCTAGTAGAATAAAGTTGAAGTTTCTGAATGGCACGCGCGCCTAATTGCCCCTGATCCCATGATGCATTGCGTTAAGCCCAAATGCAATGCATTATGGGATCGCCAGGGCGGCCTGCGAACCGGCAACTCATCCATTGAAACTTACTTTCAGACAGCATGTCCCAAAACTTCTTATTAAATATTTTTAATCTTTGGTGCATTTTGTGAGGAAATGCAATATCTTTATAAGAAAATATTCCGTCTTCATAGGATTACGTCAAACAAGGAATTTTACAGGCTAGAAATAAAAAAAAAACTAATTTGCAATTCCTTGTTTGATGTCATATCCGGTAACTTTGAGGGCTGATAATCCCATGAAGATGGCCTATTTTCTAATAAAGATATATTGTATTTCTTCATAAAATGTACCAATGATTGAAAATAGTAAATGACTCAAATCATGACAGGGTTAGGTAGCAAGGTTAGGTACATAATTTAATTACAAAGGACAGAGGCATTTAGTCAAATACAGCCCGACAGCCGCAGGCCTGAGGGCTGTATTTAAATAGATGCCTAGGTTCGAGATATCTTCACTTGTCGAACATGCACATTTTTATCAGTATCTAGATATAGCCCTTGAATTTGTACTGTCGTTTAATTTGTACTGTCAAGAACTGCCGTGTTTCAGGGCTCTTAGCGATATACATATATCACGAAGAACAATAAAAAGCGACAAAAGTGTGTGATAAACTTCAGTACTTGGCGTCATCTACCATATTACTATTTCGGATCACTCATAGGCTCACTCGAAATTTGTCGACTGTCAAAATGCCACGTTTTTGCTAAAATCTACCGGTAGCAAAAATGCAAGATCCAAGAAAAACTTAACATGTTCTTTCCAGTGGTGCAACCAGAGCATTATCGGGGGTATATTCATGGTTCGTGTTCTGCCCGACTAATTTCTTTTGAAATGAACTTAAAAACAAAGAAATTCAAAAGAAATTCGTCGGGCAGAACACGAATATATGAATATACACACCCCAAATTAACCTCTAGTTACGCCTCTGATTCTTTCCATAAATTGCAATAATGAACTCATGTGAAAGTCATGATTAGACCCATCCAGAGACATACTACGTTACTAATCTCTCAATAGCATTGAGAGATTTTCTTGCTTCTTTAAGTGTCAACATTTCTGAAGTTTACCACCATCTGCTGCTCTGTAAAAGCGCTTTTCCACCAATTGCAAACAGGGGCGTAGGAACCGGCCGGGGGGGGGAAGACAAATTAGCCCCAACCTTTTTCTCAAAGTACCCTTTTTTTCAGATAAAACAAACGTCCCTTACGACCAAGTGTCCCTTCAACTCCACGAAAAGAGTTGAAACGGTATGGAGTCGTATTCTCTTAGTAGGGCATCCATCTCGAATCTGCCAATTCGTTGGAAACCGACTCCTTTTTGAGAGCACTCAGACGCTTCATAGCTCGACGAGGCCCAATTAGAGAAATGAGATCAGACCTATAATCGCAAAACTCAACTCGCAACCTCTGCGAGTGCTTGCATCTAAAATAAACTATCGAGCATTGTGATTGGGTAGATGTACTAGCTGCGAGCTTGAGTTGGTTTTTGCGATGAGTGGATGAGAATCTTTACAACACAAGGTAAAACCATAGAATTATTTCTATGGGTAAAACTATCAATAACGATATTTATGCGAATGTGAAATCTGCCCTCGATATAATAACTAGGGATCCAAGGATAGTGTGAAGTTTCAAATTTAAAAAGGCACTGCAAAACTATATAGGGTCGCCGACAACCTAGAAAAGCTTGATGGCTTACACTACGAAATAAACAGTTACCAAAGGCATTTCATCTCATTATTTATTGCTTTTAATACGCTCGGCATACGAGTAACGTGACGTTTGAAACAAGCCTAACACATCAGAAACGTGCCTTGTGAAACTGATGCAATTCATCTATTTATTGTGTCACCAACAACCAAATTTTGCATATTCTAAATTTTCATTTGCATTTGCAGCTGTCGCTGAAAGCATCCCCACGAGGCTACTGCTATGCTAAATTTATCTAATAAACTATAATTGAAATAGCTGTATAAGATATGTTATGAATAATAAGCACTACGTCGTTACATCATTAAAAGACGCATTTTATCCTCATCCGTTCCGTATTTTATCCGCATATCGTTCCGTGGATCCGCTCCATCCGCTTCCGCATTTTAACTTAATTGTGACATGTTTCATAATAACAAGTTTCATTGACCTTTGACTTTTCCCAGTGTGACGCGTGTCTATTTTCAGCTTTTCGCATGTGTTGAATATAAATATCACTTTAGATTTCAATAGTTTCACAGTTATAGCAGTGTTTAATTAAAACATTTTTGACAAGATTTGATACAGTTCTGTGTACAGAATACTACAGATTGATTCTCGTAAGATCTGGTAGAGTCATCGTTGCACTGAATAGTGAATACGAGTTTGCACCGTTGACAACGGCGTTGTGCTAGACACTAGACAGTAAACAAAGACAAGGTCAAGGTCCGTGAATGTACACGTTGGCTACATGTACCTCCTTGCTTTTTTCTTCTATTGCATAAAGCTTGTTGGCGAGCCAATTATGCACTAGTCAATTGAAACCCCGGCCCCCCGACCCCCGGGACAGAGCGGGGAATTAACGGGGGAATGGCCGTGGATTAACGCGGTTTTAACGCACCATTTTCCCCGGGGTACAGGGTAAATAACAAGTCAATTTATTAGCCGGAACAATAGCCGGGACTTTAACGCGTGGCTGATATGAAAGTGGACTGGATCGAGTTTATCCTCGCGGCAACATGGCGGAATCTTCGAAATCAGAGAATTGTTTCCTCATAGTTTTTCTTAAAAAAAGGGAATATATTTTCACTTTTTATATATTCCTGATGATGACTGATATCGAAGGAACTAGACTCACTATCTAACTCATGAACTAGACAATATGGCATACTCGAACCGACCTGACCGCGTAGCTCAGTCGGCAGAGCATTGGGCTAGTATTCCAAAGGTCGTAGGTTCGATTCCCACCGTGGCCAGGCATATTTTTCAAGCCTGCCCGGTGTGGATATACACTCAGAGTAACATCACAAGCATCTTATTCACCTGAATACATTAGGGCCTACACCAACACAGCCGAATATCAGACAACCTCGTTCCCAGGGTCTTTCTTAGAACGGCGCGAGGCGAAGGAAAGACCCTGGTTTCGGCTGGTCACGTGTCACCCAGATTCTGGGTGATAAATTAAAATGATACTATGGGCAGGGTGGGAGAGGAGCGTGTTTGTCGCGTTTGTAACAATATTTGCAATTTTGTGTGATGAAATTTAAATTTGCAACAAGAAATCGTGAAGAGAACTGCAATTTAAAATTAATATTTATCGTGATGTGACTTTCTGCTCTATAATCTAGTGTCGAGTTACAATTCCAGCAAGTTAGATCAGATTTCAACTTGCAAAGAAAGCACGCGCCTGGGCGGCGTGGCAATAAGCCTACAACTGTAGAAGAAAATTCATATCTCTAGACCGACCAATGTGGTTTATATTTATTTAACTGTTAGTATTAAAGTATATCCTGATACTCGGACCAAAAGAATATATTTATTGATGAGATGTGGAATTGGAACGAAATAGCGAGATCTTTTGATTTCCGAAATATCGCCAAGACGCCAACTGTATCGAGATTATTGATTATAAAGGCCTTATCACAAAACTTAAATCCCGTCAAAAGACTATAAAGTTTCCTGCAAGATCTCAACGATCATGATATATGTCAAAGTCTAGCTGTCTGTTGAAAATCCACGGTATTACAGTAAAGTCATACATCAAAGATAAGTCAAACGACAATATATTTGTCTTACTGTTTACTACTGTGTTTATACCACATTTCTAAATTTTATAAACAGCTTTCGTTTTGACACAAGCTTTAATTTTCTACTTTATATATATTCTTGATAATACAAGTGAGATTTAAATTTTTTGCTTTGTGAAATAGAATACCGTTGTTTTTTAATGGACAGCTTGTATCGTCTCTATCATATCCAGGATTGCTTGTGTGTATAAAATAGCCTACATGTATCACTATATATGCCACTATCAAATAAATATAGAAATATAAATGAACTTATTAAACTAGAAATAAACAGATGATTGAGACACAATGAAAACTGTTAGTAGCCTTAGTAGAAGCAGAAAACTCGAAAATTTATGTGTATTCGTATGGCAGTCTGTGCGCGTCTGACAGTGTAAATTTGTGATGTAGATTATAGCCTAGTTGTGTGCATATTAGGAAAACATTATCTGACCAAGAAAAAGGCCAAAGCCTTACTATAATTAATGAATACGAATTATGTACTAAATCCAAAATTTTAAAGATAAATCACTGACAGACATTTCTCTGTTTGACTAGTATCAAATGTTTATATTTTCTGATATTGGGCTCTACTCTCTAGTCCTAGACAGCACAATACAATACTAGTGTTTCTTTTAAAAATCTTATAAACAAGACGTGCAAAGCATAGCAACGTTTACAAAAAAGGACAAATCTAATGCTTGTTTTAAAAACATTACATTTGTAGAAATGGTGACCACTGAAAAGCCCATAAACGTTTGTTATAAAACCGCGCTCGAGTGTGAAGAGAGCATTGAATAATAATAACACGAGAGAGTACTGCAAGTAACGATTTGCTTTGTTTCTTGACTTGACTGTTGGTAAAAATGTAAGAATGTTCTTCTATGCACTTATGAGAATAGCAGGTTGGTTATGCGGTTTTTACAACTATGGTTGGTTACACGCTTTTTACAAATATGGTTGTAGGGTAATGTCGAAAAAAAAATTAGTCACACATCAGATGAAACGAGTATATTATCATGTATACTGCGTTCTATAATACAGCGTCTTTTACATCTATTAAGCAAGCAATTGTATATAATGTTAATTAACATATTTGACGCAATATAATAATATTATGATATACGGCAATGACCATGCGATATATGCTAATGATCATACCTATTAATTAAGTGCGCTATATCGGCGCTAAATCACAAGCTAATCACAAGATTTTCTGCTGAAATCTCGTACTCATTTCGTCCGAGGGTTCGTACAAGTCAGGAATACAAAAATTGAAGGACTTTGTAAGGATTTTCCTGGCTTTTATCAGAAAATTCAGGGATTTTCTATTTTGAGTTGGAAATATGGCGTTTTAATTTGGTAAAAAGCGGTTTTGACTGAACTCTCAACCGTGTCACAAATCGAAAAATTTCAGAAAATACAGTATCCAAATGCTAAAAGCAAGATTAGGCCATATAAAATAAATTCCTTGATTCAAATCGCTAAATTTTAAAAAATTTAAAAAATTGGAGAGGGAGGTCTTTTTATATTTGCCCTTAAATATATTATAGAAGAACGCTATATAAGTGGACAATTGCACATGCGCTAGTGAACATGCGCAAGGGTCCACACAAGTCGTTGTAATAAGGCTATAAGCCCATTTTTCCCTTCAGTATTCCAAGCATCCCTTAACATGTTGCAATATTAACGATAAAACAATTTTATATCGCAAAAATTCCAATATAAAATATAAAAATAACTAAATCTCTGAAGATGCTCGGTCGGGCGGTAAATTTATATTTTATAACAAAATACAAAAATATATCAACGCGGAAACCAAAATATCGTCGGGCAGTGATGAGAATCAAGGAATTTATTTTATATGGCCTTAGCTTTCAAAGACTTCCAAATTTTGTACGAAACCTGCATTTTATTAATATAAAGTAGTGATTTTCTCCTCGGAATTGGTCGTAAAGTAACTGCTAGGATTGGTCGAGAGCAAAGGGTATTTTTCAGACCATATTCTAAGCCGGCCTATTCCACGAACGTCAACAAAATTTCATGACCCATCTCATCATGGCCCAATATCTTGCTAATCGCGACTGTTTTAAAATTAAAAGATGGTCATCATCAAAATATATAAACATTGCATGTGGGCAGAAACATAAAATAGAAAATATCCAAAGGTTTATGACCAACGAAAGCTTGAGATAATAACAACAAAGCCCGAAGGGATGCCAACAAATGATTGAAAAGATATCTGCAAAAATGAGCGACATCAAGATGCACCGTTATAAAGACAAGTTCATCAATCCTCAAGAAAACAAAAAATAAAGTGAAACACCGGAAATTTAAAGAGCTGAAATTAATGATGATAATTTATTAAAGAACTGAAGTATGTAAAAATGAAATTAATGAAAAGTCAAAAACAATTATTGGGAAGAAAATTATAATTTTAAGAGATGCAATGGACGAACCACAACCAGACAAGCATTTATGAACCGGAACTTAAAAGCGAGTATGAGACTGAGAGTTAGTGTAAATGAAATAGATATAACTTGAACAATTTTAATCACAATTTTCAGTAATATTATTGTTGATTTTCATCTGTAGTTCCACCGTAGGTAAGTTCAATGTACTGTACTGTCTTAAAATGTATATAGCAATTGTGAATGAGAAGCCCCATTAGGGGGTGGTCAATTCGACATTGTATTATATTGTATTGTAAAAATATGCTGCAAAATGTCATGTGGTGAAATATAAATGAGAGGGAATCAAAACACTCTTCAGGGGTAGCTCAACAGTTGTTTTTTCATGTACACCGATTGGATTACCCCATGCAAATAAAAGTTTTACTGCTGATAGGTGGGTGTTACAGGAACTCAAAAAACGGCAAAATTTGTGTTTAAAACAAAAAATATGCGAAAGAAAATAAAATTTGAAGTAAAAAATGCTTGGACTGACAATTAAGCAAGAAGATGGAATCACTTCAAAAAAATTGAAAGGTTGGGAAAACAACATAAAATACCACCTAGTGATGTAAAGAGAGAAATAAAAGGTATATGTGTTGAATTTGTTTCATAGCCCATTAATGTGAAGACAAAATTGACGATCCACCTGAATAAAGTAAAATTTAGTTTTCCGGCTAATCAAAATTCCTTCCACCTTTAGAAGCTACTTTACGACCAGTCCTTTGTATCACCCTTGAATAAGCTCAAATCAGCTTCTAGCGTTTATATATACTTGCTAGTACTGTAATCAAGCTAAAGAGGTCTCGTACCATATCATGCAACTACTAAGGCATTTACTAATGGTAAAGAAACAACAAAGAAAATTTCTAGAATGTCTAGAAATTTCTAACTGTGATCATTTTTCACAGCGAGGACACTGACCTTTTAACTTACTGACTATATAGTTTTTGAGGACCTCAACCTCTCTTGACAGTTCTTCCACTTTGCCTTTCAATTCTTCATTCTCTTTTTCAAGCTGCTTCTCCTGCTCCAACACACACTTCTTCTTTGATGGTCCACGGAGGCGGGATGCTGTGTTTTTCTTTTTATTTTTGACAATCTTGTCAGGAACTGTTTCTTCATCTCTTGAGCTGCACGGCTGCCCCATTATCTTCTTAGATGCAGGGGCAACGCGTTTGGCAGAGTTACTGTTTTCCTCGCGTGACCTCTTTCTGCTGCTGGGCTCGACATTCATACCGACGAGGATTTCTGAAGGGGAGGGGGGCGTTTCTGAGAATACATCAGGTCCCAACTGATTCATGTTGAGGGACGAATCGTTCGCAATGGTGGTGTTTGCAGGACTGACGGGGAGGGAGGGAGACAATTCTGGAACCTCTGCAGCAATGGTGGAATCTAATGAATTGCTGGGTTCGAGATTTCCATTGTTTGGAAGATTGTCGGACTCTGTGCCCAGGCAGGCAGTTGTGGTATGAACATTGGGTTTAACATTTATTTCACCTAATGTATCACGGTTTTCCTGCGATGGAAAAAGAGGTGCATCAGGTTCTAGGCTGGGTTCGAGGTTTACATTGTTCCCAAGATTGGGTTCAGAGGACAGATTGCCAGCTGTTGTTTCAGTGTTGAAAGAGTTCTTAATTGACTCTGTTGGTATAATTGTAGCCAAATATATATTCAAAAGTTGTTTTTGGAAGTCTTGATCAAATTCTTCCAATGTACCGAACAAGTTCTCAGGTAAAGATAGACTAAGGTCTAAGACGTCTTGTTGTACTGCAACGCTGTTTTGACCTGATAATTCCGTATCAATCCAGTTGTTCCCAGATTCGCCTAAAACATTTTGTACTGCACCAGCAGTTTCAACAGAATCTGTATTATTCTTCCATGTGTTATCAAGGAGATTATCCGAATTTGAAAGATCATCTGGAAGAAAATCTACATAAAGAGATATTTCAATTATTAAAAGATTGATAACCGCAGGTTCCTAATTCTATGCTGGCACTTTGTCACCAGTGTAATGGAACCTAAATCGCTATATTTTCTTATCAAAAGTAGTTTTTTTTCTTACCAAACGACAGATCAAAAAGATCCCGGGAGGCATCCTCCTCCATTTTTGTGAAGGCTCAGGCCTCCAATTTCGCCTTTCGGCTGCGGAGATATCTTTGCTTCTTATTTTACAGGCGAGGGCAAGTTGTAGTAGATTAACTCCGCTAATGTGTCTGAATTGTATCGAAAAACTACACTCTTGCCCAGAATACGCGTTATCATTGCTCGTTAGAAACTTTTCTGAATAGCCACAATTTAGCTTGGAATAGGTTTTCTTCTTTGACAACAACGTCTCTGAATAGCTGCAATTTCGTTTGCAATATGCACTTTTCTTTGACAGTACCCCTTTCCTATTTTCATACATTTCTCTCATCTTCTGTCCCTGCAACGAAATTTGTTGTGATCAATTATCGAACCAAAATCGTCGCAATACGTTGCAAACATGGTGTTCACCATGTTATCACCATGTTATCAGTAGAAGGTGTGATTCTACCGATTAAAACTTTGGGTCAGTAAGTCAATGAAATAATAACTTAAACTTTATATCAGCTTATAGGAAATAGCAATGTTTTCAATTTCAGCATGCAAGCAGGGGTGTAGGAACCGGGGGGGGGGGGCAAGGGAACCAAGGCCCCCCAAATTTAAAAATCACACAAAAAGTGCCCTTTTTCTTTAAGGTAAAGTGCCCTTTTTCTGTGTGGAAACGTTCTTCAATTTAAGAGTTTTTGGAAAATTTTCATGATATAGAACTGTGAAACTGGTTTCTATGTGTCATTTACATGTAAGGCATAGTTTATTATAACAGTATACAACTAGAGGGCACTCAGAGACTGCATACCTCCGCCCGTTACTCGGAAGTGAAACGCAACCTTGGAATTTCCTAAGAAATCCACTTTATAATTCTTAAGCATAAAAGATTTTAGGCCCCCGCGAATTGAAATCGAATTGCTAATAGATCATATTACTGTTGTTGTACTGTACAGTACTTGTAAAATAAAAACTTATTAAGTGTCATTAAATAAATGCATAAATTCTGCTTTATGCACTCGCGCGTGCAGTAATTTTCACAGTTGTGCTATTTTAAATTCCCAGGCAGCTAAAATCTTTTGTCTTTAAAACAATGTCGAATTTCGTCTTTTGTCTTTAAAACAATGTCGAAACATTGAATTTCGGTCGCGTGAAATGCAACTAAGACAATAGATAATGAAGGCCGAAGCTTAATGAGGTTTATCATCTTATTATTGTCTCAGCACTGAGCGCATAAATTATACACGTCCTAATTACGCATTCAGTAATATTTTTTGTTAATTGACCGGGAAAAGCAAGACAAAATTTTGATCATTTCTCGTTCAATTTTTAACCAAATTCAACCAAATTTTAATCAGTTCTTCCTTAGCCGATGGGAAATGCATTCAAAAAATTTCGTACGGATATGTTTGGTATTTCTTGAGTTATCGTGCTCACAGACAAACACACACACACACATACACACACACACATACACACATACAAACCCAGATGATTACATAACCTCCTGGCGGAGGTAATAATATGTGTCAAATGCCCTTTTCACCAGGCAAGTGCCCAAGAAGTTGATGCCCCCCCCCCCCAACTGAAATATACTTCCTACGCCCTTGCATGCATGTGATTTCATAAAACCCTAGTTTATTGCTGCCGTTATGCAGCTCCCTATTCTTCACGTTTGCTTGACCCAGTCTTTCGCGCGAAATATATATTGGCAAGATCTCGATCGAATGTGTTCGAATGTGTCCGGGTGTCTGTCCGCAATTACGGGGAGATGATTATTCTGGAAATTTTTTAAACAAGGGGGCGCTCAAACTTTATTTTGTATTGTGCTCGCATCAGTCGCATGATTCTTCTCAGGATTTCAGAAACGATCAACAATACTTTGCCTTTGGATATAAATTCCGGTAAGGATAGCTTTATTTCTTTCTGGCGATATACTTGAGGTATACTTGATAGGATTTATATTTAGATCTGCTGTTTTATATTGTTCGATATATACTGCGGACTAGTGCAGAGTAGTATTGAAACAATATTGATTATTGAATATGATTTCATGAATTTATCAGCAGTTTTATTCACAGATATGATATATTTATACAATAAGTCAAATTTTAGTAATATTTGTTTGAGTAGCGATGTCCCAAGGCGATGAGTTTATATATTGTTTATTCTAGATGCTTATAGTAGCAATGTGCTAAAAAAAAACGCGGACTGTAGTGTATGCACGTCTTAATAATCAGGCTTTTAATAATGTATAAAAGATATAATTCCTATATAGGCTATACTAGCAACCCAGTGTGGATTGTTAGAGACCTTAAGATTGACGTTTACGGCAAACGTCAAACCGCTAGCGAAGTTTTGGATTTTACAACTCTATTATTATAGCTTTTACACCAGTTTTGAAATATGTTAAACTTATTAAACTTGTGCTCTTTAGCAATGATTTAAGAAAGCAAATTAACCACTAGTCATGCCATTCACCAAAGCAGTAAATTAAGATTTGGCGTTTGAAGTTGGCGTTTGGCGTATAAATTTCATGCTTTAACGACTACAAGCCCTCGTAGCAGTTCAAGCATGAAATTTATACGCCAAACGCCAACTGGTGAATGGCATGACTAGTGGTTAATTTGCTTTCTTAAACCATTGCTAAAGACCACAAGTTTAATAAGTTTAACATATTTCAAAACTGGTGTAAAAGCTATTATAATAGAGTTGTAAAATCAAAAACCTCGCTAGCGGTTTGACGTTTGCTGTAAACGTCAATCTTAAGGTCTCTGTTGTCTACATATTAACTTACCAGCAGTTACATGTAATAAGCCCCGCTGGCAGTGGTTTCTGAGCTCAGGAGAAACCACTGCGAGCAAACGAACGATTTTCTAGCGAAGATCGCGTGATGCGACCAACGCAACATCACTTTAAATTTGACTTTCTCTCCTGTAGTTTGTTAGATGTAAACAAGCTTGACATAGTACTGTTTTATTTGTTGTCTGTTAGTTTTAATCAAACGACTTTTTATTCTACATGCAGTTCACAATTTATGTATCGGTTCTATAAATATCGTTGTTGCCAATGCTAAAATATTTTGAAAATCGGTTTCTCACGCTACAAATTTCGCATTTTAATTTTTGTGTTTATCCGATCGTTACTTTATAACATTGGAGATTGTATTAAGGTTTTCGGTAGAGTAAATTCCAAATAATATGTTTATTACTGTGGTTTTGACAATTATTGCACTTTTTGCGACCTCAAACGCTACAAAACATATTTCTCTAAAACCAGTAAAAGGTTGATTTTTTGTTGCAGTGTAGAATTTATTGTTATTCTTTTGAACTCTATGCGGTTTTCAAGTCATCTTGATGTATATTTTCTCACATTCTATTCAATATTTGTACAGTTTTTTGTACAAGGATTTTTAAATATTCAAGCGTGTTACTATATTTAGAATGTGACGTTGTTAAATTAACTTGTTTTCAGTGTACAACTGGCTCGCATTTTATCAGCAGTACCTTGCATTTACCAATGCGCACGACAACAGAAACTTGTCAAACTTGTTTTACCAGTTTCTCATTTAATGTTTCGTCTGTAAATCTGGACGGCGGCACAGATATATAAGATACAGAGAAGGCCGACTTCTTGGTTTTTCCTATGACTTTCCTACGACTTTGGCGTAACCCGTAATTCGTCATCAAATGCTGACGCATCGTCCTAGCCAGTGCGCGTTTGGGAGGCATTCACCCCCCTGATAATATTCAAAATGGCGGACGTCCAAGGAAGGAGGGGAATGCTTCTCAAACGCGCACTGGCTAGGAGCATGGCGTCAGCATTTTGATAATGAATCATGGCGTGGCAGCGGTTACTCGAGTCGACCTTCTGTGTGCCTTATTCTGTGACGGCGGTTACATGAAACGATCGTTCAAATGCTCGCTTTGGTTTCTCCTCACTCCTCAGCTCAGCTAGAAACCACTGCCAGCAATATACATGTAATAACATGTCAATCGGCTTTTTTTGCACAAGGTACGTATACATAAGTAACATATATCCATTGTTACGTGTCCATTGTTAGCATGATACGAAATAATCCTACCAATATTTATATATTCACTTAGCTGTGTCACTACATTTCAGGGTATAAACAGTCCCTTATTCAGCAAATTGCGCATGCTGCCTTGATCCCTTGGCAGTGAGGCAGCACTTTCCTTGCGATAGTAACTTCTAGTTTTATATTTCATCACAAATACGTTGTTAGGAACCCAATGTATTTGTCCAACACAATATTTGGGCCATTTATACGGGGGAACATAAGTCGCGTCTTATATAAGACGCGAAAACACTTGTATAAATGGTAAAATTCTAATAAGTTGTGACTTATTGTGGACCAGTCAGAACCCCTGTTCTTATTTAAGTTGCGAACAACTCTACAAAGTGGCGAATTTCACCATTAATGTAATCAATAAATCGCAACTTATTCTCTCTCGTATAAATGCCCCTACATGTACATGTGTGAATATGCAGTACAGCATTCACACTATTTCAACACTAAATAAACCTGAACGTTGCACCCTCAGTATCACCTCCGTCAGGAGATTATTTTGTCATCTGAGTTTGTGTGTCAGTGTGCCTGCGCGCATTATTAAATTTTTCGGTTTCATTATACAATATGAACAAAACTGATCCAAAATTGAGCCGTGAGACACTCAACAGCGTTTTCCCTTCAATTCATGATTATAGAACAATGATTATTGTATTGTATTTGTAACTTGTCAACTACAGTACCAGATCACAATTTAGGATGTTCATAGGATGGAGGGCAATACTTGTGTCAAACAAATAGCGCTACATATTCAACATACGACGAAGTGTAAAACGAATAAACACTCCGTTGCTAATACACATATCCTTTGGTATGACCGCCCGACATATTAGAAAACGACTCAAATTTATCAACGAAAAACAATTAACAATATTTTTCCTCATTAATAAATATAACATACCTGATGTCTCACCAAAGCTTCTTCCTGTTGTTTCATCAAAGCTTCGTCAAACTTCTTTCCATAAAAACTCTGTAAAATAAAATGCAGTTAAATTTTATTCAATAACATGAATGACCTTGCAAATAAAAAATAGAATATTAGTGCGCCGACGGATTCTAAAAAAGCTTATTTTGAATTTAAACTTATTTTGAATTTAAATTTATTTTGAATTTATAATACTTGTATATTTATATGCATGACTGAATTTGGCGACTAAGGACTCAAACAAACATACCAGAAAAAGTAATTTTTCCATGAAATTAAAAAAATAGGTTTATCAATTCGAAGTTTGAAATAACATGGCACTTATTTATTTGCTGATTATCAATAACAAACTTAGAAGTAATTTCTGTCTAGTTTCAAATAACATATATTTTGTTTGGCGTAGATTCAACGAAGCTATGGGGACTAGTCATAAAGCATGGAGGGGGGCTGGAAAATTCGTAATTCAAAGAACATAACACTCCGACCCGAAACTTTCCTCAAAATACTAATAACCCACAGGGCTTTCAGAATTATTCTGAGTAGGTGTCTGTTCCGATAAAGTAGGCGGCTGTTTGGAGGGGGCGGTCTACAGGGTGTCGTGGAAATTCAACAGGCTGTCGTGCATCATTTATACGGGGAGCATAAGTCGCGTCTTATATAAAACGCGAAAACACTTGTATAAATGGTAAAATTCTAATAAGTTGTGACTTATTGTGGGCCAATCAGAACCCCTGTTCTCATTTAAGTTACGACCAACTCTACAAAGTGGCGAATTTCACCATTAATGTAATCAATAAATCGCGACTTATTCTCTCTCGTATAAATGCCCCTACATGTACATGTGTGTGAATATGCAGTACAGCATTCACACTATTTCAACATTAAATAAACCTGAACGTTGCACCCTCAGTATCAACACCGTCAGGAGATTATTTTGTCATCTGAGTTTGTGTGTCAGTGTGCCTGTGCGCATTGTTAAATTTTTCGGTTTCATTATACAATATGAACAAAACTGATCCAAAATTGAGCCGTGAGACACTCAACAGCGTTTTCCTTTCAATTCATGATTATAGAACAATGATTATTTTATTGTATTTGTAACTTGTCAACTACAGTACCAGATCAGCATTTAGGATGTTCATAGGATGGAGGGCAATACTTGTGTCAAACAAATAGCGCTACATATTCAACATACGACGAAGTGTAAAACGAATAAACACTCCGTTGCCAATACACATATCCTTTGATATGACCGCCCGACATATTAGAAAACGACTCAAATTTATCAACGAAAAACAATTAACAATATTTTTCCTCATTAATAAATATAACATTCCTGTTGTCTCACCAAAGCTTCCTGTCGTTTCTTTAAAGCTTCCAATCTCTGTTCGAAGTTCCTCTATAAAATAGAATGCAGTTAAATTTTATTCAATTTTCCACAATAACATGAATGACCTTGCAAATAAAAAATAGAATTTTAGTGCGACGAGGGATTCTAAAAAAGCTTATTTTGAATTTAAACTTATTTTGAATTTAAACTTATTTTGAATTTATAATACTTGTATATTTATATGCATGACTGAATTTGGCAACTAAGGACTCAAACAAACATACCAGAAAAAAAGTCATTTTTCCATGAAATTGAAAAATAGGTTTATCAATTCGAAGTTTGAAATAACATGGCACTTATTTATTTGCTGATTATCAATAACAAACTTAGAAGTAATTTCTGTCTAGTTTCAAATAACATATATTTTGTTTGGCGTAGATTCAACGAAGCTATGGGGACTAGTCATAAAGCATGGAGGGGGGCTGGAAAATTCGTAATTCAAAGAACATAACACTCCGACCCGAAACTTTCCTCAAAATACTAATAACCCACAGGGCTTTCAGAATTATTCTGAGTAGGTGTCTGTTCCGATAAAGTAGGCGGCTGTTTGGAGGGGGCGGTCTACAGGGCGTCGTGGAAATTCAACAGGTGGTCGTGCATCATAAACGCGTGGCTAAACAATTCCATTTTTACATAGCACGAAACTTTATTTAGCTTTTTCAGTGATATTCTTTTTAAATCGTAACGATGAGAAATGGCTACATATACTCGTCAAATAAAAATTGTTGGTCGAGATCATATTCTTCCACCGTTGGGAATTTCATGGAAAACGAAACATAGACAATTCCCAAGAGGGATTAAAATTGAATGTTAATTAATTAGTTATCTGAAAATGAGCTCAAATCGTCAATCTTCGTCTTAGTGAGATATCACGAACGTCCATTATTGCATTAAACATGGTGCAATTAACCACTGAATAGAGAACATTCGCAGTAATCAAAACGTTTTACGAAACAAAAACCTTGCAGCAGGCTCGCGTTGCTTATGGATTGATTAACTTTGCATAATTAATGTATTTCAATTCCCAACGGTGGAGAATGTGATTTTAACCGACAATTTTTTTTGACAAGTATGTGGCCATTTCTTCAGCATCGTTACGGTTTAAGAAAGGTATCATAAAAAAGCTAAATAACAGTTCTTTCGTCCGATGTAAAAATTGAATTGTTTAGCTAAATTTACGGTGCACGACAGCAAGTTGAATTTCCATAGGCATAGCGAGCGGTTTTTTTGAGACACCCTGTAAATCTAGTGAGTCTTAAAGTCATCCAAATTAACTAGTGTATATTGCTTAGATAGCAACACAACTGAACTCTGTAACAAAATTATAATGTATTACTACTTTCATTCTTCAACAAGATAACCTCAAGATTTAAGATGGCAAATAACTAAATCGGTTTTGAGGAAAAGTACGTCGTTTTCGAAAGAAACCAGACTATAAAGTAGACCAGGTTGATGAAAAATAACTTGGAAGCTTAGAGTGGAGGAAGGAGAGCAGAATTGATATTTATTTCAAGTACAAAACAAAGTAACCGGCGGTAAACCTCGTGGCACCCGCCGGAGCTCCGGCGGCCGCCGGCTTATTTTGAAAGCCCTGAACCCACCTCTAATTTCATATTTTACTAGCAACAAATGATGGATCAAATTTAACAGTTATGATATAATAACATTCTCTTCAGGAGCGGAAATATATAGCAAGTCTACTAAATATAACGATGGGGAGAAAATTTTGAGTCTTAAAATCGTCGGAAATGGCATTTTAAGTGTCTTCTTTATCTCTTTCACCATCCCATGATCAGACAATATTGTTATACACTCGGCTTTCTACAGGCTTCATTAATATTTTTGTGTGCCTGCGAGCGGAAATTAGAGGTTGGTAAAACAGCAGCATTACAACAGCTTAACACTAATATAACTACACTGTAGTGTAGTGACTGTTCCAAAACACTGATGTGGTTTGAACAGTTTCAAGAATGATCACAGAAATGTACCTGCAGAAAGCGCGCTCGTGCATATTAATGAAGCCTGCATGGCTTTCTAGGCCACTTGAGCAGATTTTACTTTGACCCACCCCATAACTTGTGTTAATTCTTGAAGACCCACCCCTTTTTAGCAAATGTCACCCAGCCCCCCCCCCCCCCCCC